AAAGCTTCGTTTGCTATGGGTAGGCAGACTTCGCAACCCCGAGCTGAGGACAAGTGTATGTTCTGGACTGCTCAAGTGGAATGGTGGGAGCGCTGGGCGAATGATCACGGTCTGAGTGTGGACGCCGCTAATTGTGCTAGCATTCACCTTTCGTTCATGCAAGATATGGCCACGCAAGCTGCTCAGGAGCAGCAACTCGAGGAAGAACCAAAGACTGTCGCATTTTCACCATCAAAAGCCAAGAAATCGGATCAAGAAGAGTGATCTTGCTACATATCGTGATCTATCACGCTTTCCGGTCCGTAGCTACTCGTTAACACCCTTCTAATAATTTCAGAGCTGTCTTCATCATCAATTCCAAGGGCCTCAAACACTAACTGAATCGGTGAGTCTTCACTTTCTCGGTCTTTGACTACTAGGACCAACGGCAGTAGGCTTAAGCCGTCGTGCTCCGTTGCTATTGGTAACCCATCGAAAATTGTGACGTCTCCGCAGTACGAGAGGTTAGCAGAAATGATTTGAACCAGCAAGAATCCTGCTTCACCTCGACAGCGAACACCTGCTCGTTGTCGGTTGACTTGAGCGGTTGCATCTTCATCTGCCAGAATATCGTGGAGCACCTTTTGTACTGCACTCTCATCTACTTGCGTGTTCCTTGATGCAGTAATTACTCGGGCTTCTCGGCTAGTACTCCACCCCAGAGAGGCACATACTGCTCCTTCGAGTACTAATGTACAGACCTCGTATGCTCCAGCCTCGCCTTCTTCACCGCTTCTCTCGTCATCGAAGAGAAAGCCAACATCGATATCTCCTGCCTGCGTTGTGGCCTTATTGCTGTTCTGGCTGGGGTGAGGGAGCACTGGCCGAATGTTACTTACCACAAGTTTACAGAGCGGACGATGGAGCACGGAGGCTAGACCGTATTTAACCTGCCGAGCTGCTTCCTCGTCGTCTTCGTTATCAAGAGCTCCATCTCGTGCCAATCGTTCAACTAATTTTGCCAACTGCGGTTCATACAACATACGATGGAAATGTTGCTGTGTTTCAGGGTCATCCATAGTGATATCCAGCAACAACTCGCCGTCCCAGAGTTCCTGCAACCGTACGCAATAGAAGACCTCACCAACATTCACAACACTCTGGTGCGTAAGTGTACTTGGAACGGGTGTACGGAGGGCCACAGTCTCATTTTCTTTTGGTTTGATGCTCTGGTTCTCCACAGATAACCTTCTTGAATGCAGGGGCTCACTCGTAGGAGGCTGCTTTTCATCATCTGTTCCGATCACTACGAGTGTAGCCATCTCTCCAGCTTCACCAATGACTCGAAGGTTGTTAAAAAGAGGTCCTAGCAGTTCTTCGTGCACTGCAAAGAGTTCTGGGTCCTCACTGTTGCCATCATGACGCTGACTGGGGCGATAACTTGCGAACGTCGAGCAGAATGTTAGAAGCTGGCGCAGATCCACTTTAGTGCTCAGTGGCTCGCTGTATCCTTCGCAGTCTAACACCACAGCACGAACCTCCAACCACCAAACCTGTGACGTTGCATCGGCGAAAGCTTCTGTCACAGTCAAGTCCACGAGAACATCGTCACTGTTCTCTTCGCCAGTGACCGAGAGATACCGTGTGCCTCTGTAGACTGTCACCTGTTGAATCTGCTGTTGATCTTGAAGTGAAGTAGACTGCTCTGCTGGGAATCGAGTAGCAGCTTCAGGGTCAGTGGTCTCAGCTAGAACGAGGTGGCCGTTCTTGTAGCCTGCGTGAACATGGCCCACTAGCAGCTCTGCAAGAGCTTCCAATCGTTCGCGACGTCGTACTGAATGTCGAGCCAAGTAACTCTCATGATTGGGTACAAGCCGCTGAATATCGCGCAGGTGGAACGTGAGGAAGTCGTCTTGTGCTGAACGGGGTTCGTACGCCACAAAATGGATGCTGAAACCATCATTCGGGTCCTCAGGCTGCTCCGTTTCCTCATATAGCACTTGTAATAGCAGCAATTGGTCACTGATCATTCGAGATCCACTTGTTAGCTGCGTACTCCGCTTCAAAATGCCTGGTATACCTCCACTGGCCCCTAATGAGTGATACTTTATGGCATGGCTACTTAATACTTGCTCCAATTGCTCGCGCATGGCATCACGTTCTCGACTCACACACTCCGTCTCGAGTTGAGCGACTCGCATATTCTGCTCTGCTCGCATCGTACGACGCAGTAGTGTCTCCATCTTCTGCTTCAGAGCCTCACGTCCAAGAGAACGCACAGCAAGTTTCATCCGGTTTTCAAGCTGTTCGCGACGGTTATCCGACAATACCTGAGCATTCTGTAAACGTGCTTGCTCCATTATCTCTTGCGAGCGTTGCTGTTCACGCTCCAGACCCACACGAGTCTCTACAAGTTCTTCCGATACACGCGTAAAGCCCACTGAGGTCTCACGTAGTTGTCGTGCTAGCTCCAAGTTGGTATTGCGTTCCAGCACTAGTTGAGCCTCTAACGCCTGTGTACGATCTGTGGTTTCTATAATTTCTTGTCGAAGCTGTTCTTGCAACGCTAACAGCGAGCTTTTAGTCTGTAATAGAGCACGTTCAAGCGCAAAACTGCGCTCTCTGTACGATTTCTCCTCGGCATTTACTGGTTCTCCAGCTTGAGGCTTGAGAGCTGCTGTTTTAGCTCCAGAGCCAGAAGTCTCCGCTACCAGAAGCTCAAGCTTTTTAGAAGCGTTTTCAGCTTGTTGCTGAGCCTCATTCCGCTCATTCTCCATGGATTCAAGAGCTTGTTCAAGCTGGGCAATTCGTTCCTTTAACGCTCGTTGCTCACCATAACGACGATGCATTTTCTCGTGATACGCTGCGGCGTCAACGTGACGGTTTGTAGCGTGCGATCGAGCTGCATATTCCTGCCAAAGCTGCTGCATTAACACTGGATCTGGACCTGTAGCCATCGTCTCCTCTTTATGAGTCTTGAGATTTTCATCAGTAGCAGGTGACGTCGGTCGCGAACTGTTGCGAGGGGATCCAGACAACGCACGACTGCGAAAACTACCAGAGTTTGTTCGGATATCTGTTCGTGAAGGTCGTCGGGGCGCTCCGTTCGGTTGTGTCGGTGCTCTCGGCGAGATCACGGTTGGTTTAGTTATGGCTTCATTCTCCTGTCGATCATCGGATGTAGCCATTTCAATAGCACTAGCATCGGGGCCTTGAATATCTCGAGGATGTTCATGGCCTGGAAGTAGTGGGAACACGATACCTCCGCTGTCTGTATCATCAGCTTGTGTCGAAGCCACTCGATGGCGCGGCGTTCTACCGTTCGAGTGCCAACCTTTGCCCTTCTGAAATGGCTGGATGTTGCGATATCCCGTAGGTAACAATGGATTCAAAGGAGACACCAAGATGGATTCATTATCTCCTGATCGCGGAGGCAACGGACGAGACGGTGGAGAGCTCATGAGTTCCAACTCTTTAAACTGAGGTTTTCGTTACGACTCTTTAGGCGGAGATCTCCCCAATTAGTCGGGAACAGTCTGAACGCCATGAAGCGCGGCACGGGTCGGGATTCCAGCGGTGACACCGCTCTTCGCGAGCTGGAGCGCGCGTTGGACGCGTTCATGGCTACACACGTCACCACTGCAGCCAACTTCTTAGCCGCCAAGAGCGGAGACGAATGTAGCCATCTTCTCGAGGACACCCAACTGGACGTTGATCAGGACCAAAATTCAACTGAAATGACCCATTTCCAGCGTGATTTAAGACGTCTACAATGTATGAGCTCGGTAGTCACTACTCAGCGAGGACCTGGAAGTGTTGTGAGTATTGGAAGACTGTTACTATCATGGCTACAAACTGTCGAGAGCTCCAGTGCCGCTGCAGTGGCATCTACTGCTGTAGCTTTACCTCCATCCGCAGCAGAAACAGCTCGAGCAGCAGAACAAGCGCAACAACAGTCTCCACTTGACCCCGTGGCTTCGTGGCTGGTGGCAACACTGCTGAAAATCGTCTTCCAAGTGCCTCAAATGGGTACAAACGCCGATATTAAGTCTGCAGAACGCGCTGCAATGGATGAACTAGTGAATATCGTTGTGACTCGGTGCTTATTATCCTTCCACCGATCGTGGCAAGCAGATGAAGAGACTCAACGCCGACTAAGAGCCGAAAGCTCTGGGAATTTATTCTCCTACTTAACGATGCGGAAGGCTAAGCCCAAGACGCCAAGCACATCTGGCGCTCCCAGTGCTGTAGCCATTTGCTTAACGTGCATCACTGAAGCTGGACTCATTTGGGGACACGTTTTGGGTCTCGCAGCAGGTTTAGCCCCTGATGTGGCTCGGATTAAGCTGCAGAATGAGATCTTTACTCGGAGTACACTTTGGAACGCGACGAAGCCATTTGGAGACATCTCTGTGCATCCATATTTGAAGCATTTAACCCATATCCGACTTGGCTTAGCACCAACAAAGACTCATCCTAGTCTTACATTAACTACTCGGATGTCCGATGCAGCAAGATGGCTACGTTTGGTGATGCCTTTGTTACTAAAGCCTCATCGCTCTCACGTCCGCAGTGCTTGCGCTCATCTGATCTCCCAATTGCTCATTAGAGAACTCTATTCACTCAATCGACTGGAACTCAGCGTAGTTTACACGTCTACTGGGAGTGAGTGGAGTCGCTGTATCAGTGATCTCCACGCCGCAGCGCTTCGATTAACCGATAGCGCCAAGAAGAAGAGTCGAGGGCGTTCTCAACAGCACCTAGAGGCTTCTGCTTGGGCTCTTCGAACTGTCGTGTTAGCTCTCGCTCCAGGGGAGATTTTCACGCGATACTGGCGAGAAGATGTCCTAGCTCTTTTGAGACTGCAGTATCATTTGAACCAAGATGCCAGTGCTAATGGAGCCACGTCGTACAATGTACTACCGAGTCTGGAATTGAGTTTCACGTACATGATGCATCGTCATTTCTTACTACGAGACTCGGGTGCTATCACTGCTGGAGCGCCATCAGATTCCGACTGTATGGAGATCATCAACACGACCCAAGCGTGGGGATTCTTCTCCTTGCCGCGGTTAAAAACACAGAACTCGAGCAGCACTGTTATTAGCAGCTTTACAGCACTCAAAACGATCGCGTTGCCTGCGTTAGTGCATGTATCACGAGCCATCGCGGCGTACAACATGGCGTACACTGTACAGAGTCATTTACGCCGTTTACTGGCGGAATCGGTAGGTGTTGGAGACCCACAGAAGCTGGTGGGCCTTGAAGCACTCGCAGACTTACTGTCTCAGCCTCCAAGCGATGAGAATACTGTAAACTTCCAAGTGAACCACAACGACCTGCTCGCCAGTAACCAAATGATCGGAGAACTGGTTGGTCGTGTTCTGTTGGAATGCAGTACGCGTATCGGTCATAAGCTGCTCACAGAGATCCCCGTGACCCTAAACAAGAAGGATAAACTGCAGTTTTTCGATGATGACGACGGGGACGAGGAAGAACACTGCAAGAACCCGACGCATGCTGTTGCAGTGGCTACATTCGCGTCAGCATTGAGTTTGATGCCGACTTTGTATGCGCACATATCACTCAGTAACGAGCAAAAGTTGCTGCTACTTGTGCGTACCAGCGTGAATGCAGAACGAGTGGTGCATCGTCGCGCTCATGAGGCTCTTCTGGGTCTTATTGGACCTCAAAAACCTCACTCGACTGAGCCTCTACCCCCTGGAGCCGGGGTGGTTATCCGTGCGTTAACCGACTACATCATGCGGATGCATGTGAGCAGCACAACAGCCGTAAGCGACGCAGCAGGAGCCATTATCATCTTACGACTGCTAAGTGTACTGCTGGAGCCATCTCGAGCTGCAGTGACGCGCTGGGAGAGCCCTCGAGCCAGATTCGAGGCGTTAATCCAAGTAGAAGCCATCGCTATTTATCTTCTAGCTCGTGGCGATGACAACGTTGAAGCCGAGCAATTACTGCGCCTTGCAGCGTTAGAGACTCTTCAAGTCGCACATGAAGCACGATTACGGTGTTCTGAGTCCGCTATTAGAGACTCGATACAGTTGCCCCTAATTGACCGCCCAAGTGTATGGACACTCCTCAACGAGCTCGATCCTGAGCTCAACACTGCGTTCTTCACCTTCAAACCGGATCAATCACAAGCAAATACCGTAGACAATCTCTCATCACTTCGTCGTTTGATCTTCGACACGTCCGAGCGCCATAGTTTTCGTTGGTCTCTGTGTCTCGCCCGTATCTTCCGAACTCTAACACGACGAGCACCTGATGTGACGGCGTACATTTGGGCGGATGTAGCTGACAAAGTCGCAAAACTGGAACCTGTACTATCCGTCACTCCTATTGTGGATTTCACACATAATCAACGAGAATTAGCTCGATGGCGAAACCTCGCATTGTTAGCCACCGTATCAGCATGTCAAATGCTACAGACCCAGACTCGAAAGACTGAAGTGTCCGAGAATTCATCGGAACCGCCCAGTGTTGCGCCGTCCACGATTGTGGCTACACTTGTACGTCAACTCGCGTGTTATTTACGCAGTACCAACGTCGGACAACGCAATGCTGCAGTGTTAGTATTGGGACATTCGGGATCGGTAGCGTTACCAACACTGCTGGATGTACTTGGACGGCTCGAAGCTGAAGCGTTTACTGCGCCTAGTAACGGAGAACAAGAGCCCGACAGTACACCAACACAGAATGCTGTCCGTTCACGCAGTATTAGGACGTCGAAGCTTCCGAAGAAAAAGATGCTAGAGCTGCAACACGCTCGGGTAACACAACTAACTCTACAATGGGCTATTGGTCGATGCTACCGGCTTTTGCTAGAGTCACGAACACGTGGACAGAACGACAATGAAGATCCGGAGCCTGGAAGTTCCGTGAACGAGCGTCTGCGTCGTGCTGTATCTACATTTCTAGCCAAGGTGATGGCTACATTTGAGGACACCAGCGCTTCTGTTGATACCAGTGAGGCAAGTGAAGGATCATTGACCTTCAATTCCACGTCGCCGGAGGAGCACCCTGTGCTTCTGATGGTTCAACTTGACTTTATCGCAAATTTACGGTCACTGTTACTGCATTCCAATGCAGCCACCCAACCAGTACTGCAGTTACCGCATGATAAGTTAGCAGCACTGTTACTCACTTGGTGCGGATCGTTCGACAAGGATCTCGCTGATAGAGCGTTGGCAGGATACCTTAACGCTGGCTTCATATCTCCAAAGGCAGGACATGAACTCTATTCTTACTGGATGCAGCAGTGCGATGTCTATACTGCTCGCGATGGGCAAATACTCTATCCTTGGATATGGATCGATAACCAGCATCAACTCCTTGGGTCTGTAAGTAATACATGCACTACGTCTCGACTGGTGGCTCAATATTTCATTTGTCATCGCGCTTTCTCCACTTTAGCGGATTTACTTCGCAGCAGTCTTCAATCATCCGATAGAATTGCGACTTGGGACGGCGAGAGTGTTGTGACATGGCTTGATTCCTGTTTCAGCGTGGATAGCGTCGCGTTTAAACATTTCAATGATCTCCATCACTTCGCACAACGAGCTTTACATGCTCTACTGGAACTGCCTCCCGGGAGCTCTCGATTCAATCATGCGGTTAAACGGAGTCTTGATAAAGCGACTTGTACTGCAAACTCAGAGCTTCGAGTCGCTCGACAGTATCTTGAAGCTCTTGGAGCTTCCAGTGAAGTGATGAGCTTCTTCCGTTCTCTTCTAAATCGACTACAAGAGCGACGTGATGTTCAAGATAAAGAGGAGTTATACCTTGCTGTTCGGCTTCTCCATGTATTGCTACTTCATGTTGGTCTTCCACGGGATGACAAGTTGGTTCAGCATCGTCAACTGATACTGGATATGGTGGCAGCTCTCGTTTGCGACCCTGACGCGAGTGGAGATGACGAGTCTGCAGCTACTCGCTGGGGGTTGCAGGCTTACTACAGTCCCAGTCTGGATGGGCACGTCGCTGGTCGATTGCAAGTAAGCGTTTCAGCTCTGTTAGCGTCTCGGTTCTCACTGCTGAGTTTACGTGTCAGTCTCGCAATTCTACGCTCAATATCGACCAGTTCGCTGCAGAACAGAGAAGAGATCACTCAGCAGCGACAGATGCTTGCTGCGGTGTTGCCCTGGGTCGCTGAAGTACCTCTAAACGAGCCAAAAGAGACCAACAGTAGACCAGCCGAGCTGCTAGAGTTACTATTCAACCTCACTGCTGTTCTTGGAGATTCGTGTGGAGAACAGCTCGATCATATCTGGCTGACTCTAGCGTTCTCTAGCAACGGAGAAGACGCGAATCTCCGCGAAATCGTCAGCTTTTTGTACGCACAACAACGTAAGACCAAGCTCCCGTCTGAGACGGCAAAAATGGTCATGTGGTGGCTGTGTCGATGGCAGGATGCAGCGTCTGACGTGTTGCGTTTACTTCTGCTTCAGCTGCCAATAGGATCCGATAGTGAAGTTGCGACTGCATTGGACGAGTTGGGAGCTCTCGTGACGTTGGCTAGCGACACGAGTTGCCATCTTCAAACTTCCACCAGCGACGTACAAGCGTTAGCTGTTCACTTGGTGCACTTGTCACTCACGACGCTTTTCGCGGTGTTGGAAGACGAAAAAGTCGATGAAAAAGTGTCAAGCAGCATCCGGCAGCATTGCCACATTCTTCTACACTCAATCTTACCGCTTCTGGAAGCCCCACGAGGTCTTCTCGCAGCAGCATTAAGTCTTATCCAAGCGTCCACATCGACAATCAATCGTGACGAGAAAAACACTCAGCTTGAAGACTTTCTAGAGGCTCTACGAGCTCTCGCCGTGTGCTTATCGACCAGCGAAATCCAGATCTGGAGCGAGTTGTGCGTACAAGAGATCGCCTTATCCATTTCACCCGAGACTTCATCGCCATTCGAGAGCTTGGATCCGATACGAAAGTCCTTACCACATGAAGTGTGCGTACGCTTCGCCTTAGTGGCATATACGCAGCTATCTCCTCGATTCCAAGGTGACATTCTTCTCTCAGTGCTCACATTGCTACGACAAACGTTGACAGTGGGCGTGGACAACAGGAAGTCTCAGTCGTTGTCATTAGCTCGAGAATGTCTCGCTCTGCTGGCAATGCTGATGCGAACCATGCCAGTGTCCAGACTGGTACTGTATCCTCAAGTGTACTGGGTTTCGCTCGCTCTGCTCACACATTGTCGACAACAGCGTGATAATTCGCTGAGTAGCCCGTCACTACACGACGGAGCGCTGGAACTTCTATCAATTATCTGGGATCGCACACCTTTCACGAGTCATACTGTGGTGCTGGACGTTATCCGGTGCACGCGGCCAGCACAATGGGAATCTAATACTGCCCACAACTCCGTACTGATGGAAATTGCACGCTGTATATACGCAGGCGAAAGCATGGACAGTAGAGCACGAGCGATGAACATGATGCAGAAGGCAGTACTGCTTGTCCCTCGTGACCTTCTTGGTGTATCAAGCTATGAGCACCTGGTAATCTGTACACTTGCCCTGCTGCCAGCGTTGATAACTCCGTCGAATAATGATGACGAAGTTTGGGAAGACTTGATCGTATTGTGGCAGATTACAGGAACGTCTCCAAGCGGTCAAATGGTGGAACTTCTCCAGACTCGGGATGGTATCCAAGCATCAACGTTGATGACGGTATTCGTCCCTGCGCTTTACGCTTTGGAACTGGATGAAAACTCGTTTGACGGCTTGAAATTGAGTCTGGAGGTGCTTGTAGCGTGCTTACCGTTGCCTGCAAGAGCCGAATCTCCACGTACAGAGTCGACAGCCACAGATCTGAACGACAATCGCTGCGAGTTTGTGTTCGTTCTGCTTGAAGAATTGCTTCAAGAAGTCTTGAGACGGAAGGAGAAACTAGCGTGGAGACCTGTACCAGAGCTGGAAGCCACTCTGGCAAGACTACTTCGAAGTCCGAGAAGCGAACGGCAGTGGAGATTGGCCATGAGAGTACTGAGTTGGGTGGCGGAGATGACTAAAGTAGCTGGATCGACAGGCTCATCGGTGGCTCCGTTGCCTATCAGAAGCTTAACGGGCCACAAAGCGTCCGAGTTGTCGGCTCTTGGACGCATTGAAGAGTCAGAAAATGATCATCCTGGCAGTTCAACCGATGCAAAGACAATTAAGAAAAATCCACTGATGCGAATCGTGTCTCCACGATCTCAACGCAGCAGCAGCAGCAAGAAATCCGTCAAACACGTCGAAAAATCCAACAACAATGAAGTACCAAGATCTCCAGAGCCTCTACCTAAAGAACCTGGCAACGATAATGACCACGGCTCGCCTACAGCAGAAACTGCAGACACTTGAATGTAGCCATGATAACCTACAAAAGCACAAAATACCAGAAGGAAAAATATAACAAGACTGTACATCAAACCCTGCAATGTTAGCACAGTCATGTCTAGTCCAGCGTAACCAAGTGAGGTTACCTGGTTGAGTATCGCTCTTCTCTTCTCTAGGCCCACAACTCCTGGACGTAGCGGTGGTCGTCCTGGAGTTTCTTGAGTGAAGCCATCGCTTCGTCTGTCGACTGCCCGCCGAACTTCTCAATGATCTCGTGCAGCACCTTGTTGACATCATTGCCCATGCCGGTGGCTCCACACACGTAGATGTACGCGTCATGGTCACGAATGAGTTCCCACATCTTCTGGCCATTCTGCACCAACAAATGCTGCACATAAACCTTCTTCTCTTGTTCACGCGAGAACGCTAAGTGCAGCTCACTAAGCACTCCACTCTCCTGGAACTTCTCAAGCTCATCTTTGTAAATAAAGTCCTCATCGCGACGTCGACAGCCGAAATACATGATAGATTTACCCACAGTCACGCCATCTTCTTGCTGCTTGGCACGTTCGTGCAGAAACGCACGCATGGGGGCGATGCCAGTGCCCGGACCGATCAGAATAATAGGCGTCAGTGGGTTCTCCGGCAGACGGAAGGTCGACGCGCGCATGAAGATGCGAGCAGTAGGCCACTCGCGTGGCTTCTTGGTGCCTTGTTCACCTGGACGACTATCTCGCTTCTTCTTGTCATCCGTGTGGGCCTCAAGAGGCTGCAATCGACCCAAGTAGTTGGAGCATACACCACGGAACACACGACCATCACTCTTCTTGCTCTCAATGAGACTCACAGTCGCATGTACACGCTGCGGGTTAACCAGACTGGACGACGAGATGGTGTAGTACCGTGGCTGTAAGAACGGGACGATATGGAGCAGATCCTTAACCGTTAAGTTAACCGAACGGAAGTGGGTTAACACATCCACAAACGAGCGTTCGTCCTCCAGTACCCACTTTTGGTAGTCGTCTTTACCTTCTTTCGACGATAAACGCACTAATTCAGTACGTTCAGTCTGGTTGGACGCAAAGTACGCCAATTGTTTCAATGGACCCTTACGGGGAGCACTGTTAATTGCCAAATAACGCGTTAGAATGTCTCCAATCGTGCATGGAGACGGGAAAGGGAACTCGCAGTGGAGATCTTCAGCCACAGGCTTGAGAGACACCCACTGGTCCAAATCCAAGTCTAAGCGAGTAGCCAGACTCTCCACGACTGTCGTTTCATTCTCAGGTAGTACAGCGAGGTTATCAGCCGTCTCGTAGGTCACTCCAGTGCCGCGGAGATCCAGTTCGACGTGCACAGTGGAGCCTCCTTCAGTCGACAAGCGTAGCTCCCGGTTAACCACAACTTTAGCCTGTTTGGCCGTGAAGAAATGCTTCGTAGACGCCTTCATTTTCACCTCTTCGGGCTCTTTTTCCACTTCTGGACGACGGATTTCCACTAATTCGTACTCGTACACAGGAGACGTTAACTTGTGCTCGTCCTGCTTAACTTCGGTATCTTCTTCAATGTTTCCCGCGATAAACTGCTTCCTTAGAGCTTTCCACAGCGGCTCCTTCCAGTCGTCAAAGTCCTCGTCCAAACTGGCGTCATCATCGCCCTCTCCATAGTGGAACATTCTCTCAGCGCCATGTTTCTCCATTAATCGGTCCGTCATACGGCCCATCTCGTTATAGTGCTCGTATTGGGTGTTTCCCAGTCCAAAGACGGTAAAGTGGACACCCTCGAATGCTTTGGGTCCCAGATTGCCAGCCTTATCCTTCAAAAAGTCCATAAAGTCCACTGCGTTGTCTGTCGGATCACCTTCTCCATATGTAGCCATGATCAAGATGACAAGCTTCTCGTCTTTCAGCTTCGAGGCCGCGTCGTAGTCCTCTAGATCGATTGCGTGAGTCTGGAAGCCAGCCTTACGTCCCTCTGTCTTCAGTACCTCCGCAAAGCCCTCAGCAGTGCCAGTCTGAGAGCCGAATAAGATGGCTACACGTCCGCCAGGGTAGGCAGGACTCTCCTCGACGGTGGGCTTTTGGACGGAAGGCGCGGGTTCGGCTGCTTCCTTGTACATTTTCATCTGCTGGCCGATACGCAGCATTTCCTCGGCCAGTTTGTCCTTCTTGGGCTTGGGCTCGCGCAGGAACAGCACGGCGGTGGCCAGCATGGCTAGCAGGGAGCCAACGACCACGTACGAGTCAGCCATGTTTGACACTTGACGAAAATTGGCGAATGACGAAGCAGGCTACGGACCGCGAGTTTGGGTACAGAAAAGTGGGACCCAGTTGGTGGCGGGGAAACGACTGGTACAGCCAGAGGTACATGTCGACTGACGACTCATCAAGGGAACCTGGAAGGTCTTGCCTGCTATAATGAAGGGCGGTGAAGGAGGTGGCGAATCGATCGTGGTTAGACTGCACGTGGCTTTCACTTGGCGTTGTTAAGGCGCCGTGCGTGTTATTACTTCGACACTTTTAACTTTCAGGTGTGGGAAGTATTATTTTGATGTCGATTTTAGTACAACCACAATAGATTGTAGATTCGTTGTTGCATCGTGTTTACGGCCAGCGCTGCAGGCCGTAGTCACCCATGCCACGATGTGAGCCGCGGTGTTGATCAACACGTTGATGGCCCCCAGATGAGCGTGGCACCCGTTGACCTGAGTTTTTTCGTTCGCATCACCGTAGTCCGGTGGCAGCAGTCAATATGGCTACATTTGTAATAACAATAACGAGCGAGTCGCCCGGAGCGACCAGCAAGGTTTGAGCAAGAAACAAAGCCGCACTTCGCACAGAACAGCTCTGGATTTTGTGCGACTAAAGCTTTGTTGTTGTCATGGACGTAAGGTACATGTAGTGTCCTCAGATAACTTACATACACCCAACTCCGACTGACCGAAGTTCGTGCTTTGTAAAGAAAGCATACTTATGTCGAGTCATCGTCAATTTTACTGGCACATGTAGGTAAGTTCAAATCAATAACTCAAAAATTCTGGAAAGGGTGGCCGTCAACACAAAAAAAACGATTTTTAATCAGTGAAAAATAAGCTAGCCTCGACAAAGTGCTCCAATATTAAAAAAATATATGCTTAAACGATGATGTCTATTTTTAGAGTTTAATATACGAGAGTTGGGAAGAAGTGCATCTGCAAATGTAGAAAGCTCCTACCCAGATAAGGCGAAAATCAACTATTAAATATATTTTTATTAACATATGAAACGAGTCAGTCGGTGTTGGAAGAGAATTAGTAAGTAGACGTGATAATGAATTCGAGATACGCAGCAAAAATATTAGTTAATGATACTTATTCGCCACAGGTGACAACGCGCATGAGGTTGGTAAAAGATTCGTCGTCGCGATAGGTGTCACTTTAAAATCAGTGATGCTCCATGACAGCTCAAGGCATCGTAAGAGTCCACGACAGCGGGCAAATAAGTTTTGCTTAACG